CTGCGACATCATCAAGGACGTGTGGAGCACGCTTCACGCCGTCACGGTCCCTTTGGGTGTGACCTTGCCGACTACGCTCTCCGGCTACCTCTACTCGACGCCCAAGACGGCGTCCAGCATGCACCAAGCCGCGTTCCGCTACCTCTGGCCCGTGATCCGCGCCTGCGTCTGGTTCAACGTCTGGCGAGTCCGGAACGATCGCGTCTTCCGCGCCGACCTACCGCTGCCAAGTCCATGGACGATTGCCGTCAAGGCGGCACGTGTCGCTCAACTGCACTTGCACCACAGCCTCGTACAAGAGCCCGCGCAGCCTGCTCTTCGTCGTCTTCTCCAGCTCCTCGCCCAACACGAGTGGCCGCGACGTTACCTCGTTCCGCGGATTGCGCTCCTGCCTCCGCCTGCCTAAACCAAGTCCCTCAACCGAGTACACACAACGAAGAAAGTCCGACAATTTTATTAGCATAGTTTTATCTATTGTAATAGAGACCCACTTCAACAACAACGAAGAACCAAGTATAGGAAAGACACGACAGGGTAACCACCGCTTGTATCGCTGTCTAACTTCTTTAACGGTAGCCAACGCGGTGCCGTGTCGTCCCATGCGCGTGTACTAGCCACTGCACGCCTACTTGAATGAAACCTTTCCGTGGTGGCTCGAGACATATATCTTGATGTTTGTATGCTGACGTGGCACGCCCAGGGCTCGATCTCGTCACGATTTTAAGGTCGCTCGACTTTAACAACACGAAACACCGGATGCTTTTTCGGTACCAAATCACGTCCGTGGCCCAGACGCGGGATGTTATGTTCCACGGCGGCCACCTGCACGCGTGCTTCCACGCCAACCCGAGCTTTCGGCGCGCGCTTGGGCTCAGTCAACGAGGTCTTGATTGTTACGTGCTCGTCTTCAACCAGCAAGGACGTGCAGCCAAATTTACCCGCGTGAGCTTGCTGCGGCACTTGGATACTAATCAGTCGAGCGTCATTATGGCCAAGGCGGAGGGTGACGCGCCATTTTGCAAAATGTCGATCGAAGTCGACAAGGCGACGGGCGCCTATTATATTACATTAAAGTATGAACAATATAAATTAGAACAATTTTCGATAAAGTACGTCAGTCGCACTTGACTGAAATTCACGCAACTTTCCGATTAGGTGCGAACGTGAGAGCGGGCGAACCGGTAACCAAAGCTTCGCATTCAAAAGTTCCTGCCAGCTCGCACGGGACCTGTTCGCGGCTCGGTGTCGGGTTGTGGCAGCGGATTGTTGCAGGCAAATTGCGAATGATTGCGCTCGTAAACAAAAAATGGTTTACGAGGACAATCATTCGCGCTCGGTAGGGTGCCGGAAGTTTTTGCATTTTCCAATTGCCCTTGTCATTTGTCATGGTCACGTTCGCCGTCTCGTCCGTGGAGCGCAAATTCTGCAAGGCAGCTCCAACCGATGGTCAGCCCATCACGACGCTCAAGGAGTTTGCCAAAGAAGGCTGCAAGGACATTGTCCAAGCACCCGACCTCGGTTCCGTTGTCGCCTCTCAAAGTGGCTTTGTGCGCGGTGTCATTGAAGCCTACAACAAGCACCACGACCTCGTGCTGCGACCGGACGATATTTGGCTCGCGATTTTGATCCAGTTTGGTTTGTACGTCGATGGCAACGCCGACGAGCTTTCGGGCGTCGCTCGTCAAGCACGAAGGCAAGAAAGAGCTCGTTGTTTACGACATTGGAACGTTGTACTCGGTCGACTTTGGCGCACTCTCCAAGCAAATGGTCGACAAGATGGACGAGCACCTCGTGGACCCTAGCATCAAGCACTGGGTGCTCCCGTCCTTCTCTACAACGACCGACCACGACGTCATTGTCGGCAGTGTCGTGCTCATGGCCACGATGAAGAAGTATTTCAGCTACAAGTTTTGCCTTAAATGCGGCATTCCGCATGTGACGCTTCTCGGCACGGTGGACGATTGGCAAGACATTCGTCGTCGCCTCGACAAGCTCGCGAAGTATGGTGAGCGCATGCAGCAGTGGACGGCGATGCTCGCGCCGATCCTCGATCAATTTGTGGCAGCAGCCAAAGGCCAGGCGGACGTAGCGTTCTGGGATCGCATCTGCAGTCGCAAAGGCGGCGGCTCGGGCCCGAGCTACCTCAACGGCTGGATCAGCGTCTTTTGTGTCTTCAACGACGAAGGCCAGTGGCAAGGCGACAAGATGACGAGAAATGTGCTGCAGCAAAGGCCTGACGCCAATCCGGATGATTGGTTTGATGTTGTTGAGACTGAAGTCACGTACGACTACCCGCTCGTCGACATGCAGGACATTCCGCCTGGCTACCTCACGGTCGACGTGACGATTGACGACAACGGGACCGAGTACAAGGCGCTCATGTTTGCGGGACACATGGCCTACAGCGTTGGTGACGACAAGGCGTCGATCGCGCCGTCGCTGAGCTGGGCGTTGGCGCTCAAGAACGGCGAGCCCGCGCCCGAGGAAACGAACCCGTTTGGACTGTGAGACCCCCCAACCCAGGACGTTGCTATCCAACAGCATGTTTAAAGTTGCTTGATTTGAACTCGTTGTGCTTGATTGAAGTGAGTGTTTATGAGCCACATGTGGCCAGGATCAAGGGCTGGATGAAGAAGGGCATGGTGGGTCAGCCAAACACCGGTGGTCGCGTGCTTCGCGGTGGCTGTAGGAGAACGTCAACGCGCTACCTTCGCTGCGCTGCAGACTCTTGTGTCGGTCAACGCGCCGTCGTCACAAATACCGGGAAAGAACGCTTCGCATTCAAAAGTTCCAACCAGCTCACGGGACCTGTCTACAAATGGGCGATCAATTGGATGCCACTTCAAGTGTGTGGTCGCGCTCTGATTGGCTACAAGTCGACAAGATATCTTTGCCGTTTTGGGTGGCATGTCGGCCGTGCAGCCAGCCGCGCCGAGTCGGCCCGCAGCCACCATGGCTGTGAGCCGCCGGTCGCTCTACGTTAGCCTCGCATGGGCCCTCTACGTCATCCTGACCGTACGCTCCATGTACGCTCCTCGATCGATCATGGTCCCTTGTCTAGCCGATGCAAGCGTATCTGTACGAGAGCTACCCGTGGCAGGTCGAGACGCCGACGGACCGCCCGCGCGCGGACGCCAACTGGCACGACGCGTCGGCATATTGGCTCAACTACAACCAACACCGGTACTACGCATCGGCAGCGATACCTCGTCGATGCACGCTACGCTAGGGCGACCTTTCTGCCAGGCGCGCCGTACGAGCACGACGTCGCGGGCAGCATGGACATGCACCGCATGGTACTCAACCTCAGCGAGCCCATTCTCGCGAGTGCCTGCCACGAAAGTTTTGTGTACACGCTCAACAATGGCGCGCTCCTCAGCACCAGCCTTCAAGACACGCTCTGCGCGTTTGCCGCCGAGCCATCGCTTCGCGGCGTCGGTGGCTGCCAGCAAAACCACGCACTGCACCTTGAAGTGTCCATCATCTGCATGTGGATCGTACCTGGGAACGACGTGGATGCATCCGCAGCGTCGACGCCCGGTGTCTACACGTACTACAGCTCGTTTCGTATGTCGCCGTCGGTCCGCTTCTTGGAAGCCAAGTTGCTGCTTCGCATGGCACTGGTCCTGTACATGGCATTTCTCATGTGGTGCCGCTACTACCGTGTCGTCCTCGAGGCAATGGCATCCTGCCAACGCTATCCAGCGTCACGCGTCACCTTGTTTGTTGGCGATCCCACGAGCCTCGTGTTCGTCGACATTGTATCTACTACGGGCATGTGTCTGGCTGGACCTATGGCTCAGCGCGCCCGTGATTGGCTCGGCCATGCTCGCGGTCGTTCAAGTGGATGCTCTTTGGTTTCACTTGACAGCCTACGTCTACCTCTCGCGCACTGTACGTCCGACGTCTTGTGGTCCAGATCCCTCACTTTCCGTAGGCATGGCTTGCGTGCACCTTCGTCGCGGGCTTGAGTCGCGTCCTCAAAACGTACGGCGCTGAAGACCGCTTCACGCCACTCGACCCGACGGTCCTTTGGCTCGCTGCCACGCTCGTCGCGGGGCCGCTCACGTATGTGCAAGGCCAGTCGAGTTTGTGTGTGCAGCTGTACCTTTGGTTCTTCAACGCACCGGCCGTCCACCCGAGCGCGATCCAAATCCTGTATGCGCTCGCTGTCTTCTTCGTCACGTTAGTCTCTTGCCAATGCTCTTGGGTGGGGCCGCGTGCCTCTGCTGCCCGCACCCATCGCGCCCTCGGGTATTGTTGTTGTTTTGTTGACAGAGCGGTACGGAGATGTCATGCGTAGCGGGCGCAACGCCCTCCAAGTTTGCGTCGCCAGCCTTCAACGACTACAAGCACCAGCTTCTATGGCGCTTCATCATGGGCCGAACACTGCTGCAGACACCGGGCCTCCACTTCCAAGGCGGTGGTATCTATGCTTTTGGCCACACGATGCCGGCAATGCGGCAGTTGCCGTGCTTGAGCCAGCGTGGCACCGACTGCTTCGCAGTGCTCTACGACGACGAGGGCGACGCCACAGCTTGCGTGCGCTTGAGCTTGATGTGCACGCTCGATATTCAGCAGCGCGGCTTGGAGGTCGGCACTGGCCTTGATGACCAGGTCTTTGGCCACGTCTCGATCGAGGTCGACAAGACGACGAACGCAGCTGTGTACCGCTTGACCAAGCCGCTCGGCAGCTGCGCATGGCTGGAGTAGTAGAGGCATCTCGGTGGTGCTGGCCAATAATTACATACTGCATGTCCATGGTGTCGCCTGCAAAAGGCGCTTCGCCGTTGCATATACCGAGCCATTTTAGCGCCGAGAGCACGGTCGTAGCCGTCGGTACCGCGCTGGCTCGAACCTGGTACGTGCCACATTGCTCGTAGCCGTCCGTAGCATGCTTGAATCGCACGGTTGCGGGCCGATGCCAGATCTTTTGTCCAATCGCGGCGTGTGATTGGTGTATGGTGCTCCAATCCAAAGGCTCCTTGCGTACGATTGGTGCGTTTCGTTTTATCCGGATAGCGCACCAATAAGAATTTGACTGGTGCTCGTTAAAAAGTTCAAATTCGAGGCTTGCGTCAAACTCAAAACGATGGCTCCGACGAACGCAGGGACGAAGCGGCCGACGAGCGGCGCCAGCGACAAGGCGGCCAAGAAGCCCAAGTTCGACAAGAAGGATGGCAAGTCGGCGGAGAAGAAGCCGTTTGTGAAGAAGCCCTTCTCCAAGGACGGCAAGAGCAGCAGTAAGGAGCCCATCGACTACAA